TATATATATATATATATATATATATATATATAGAAATACCCATGTTAATACTCTGCAATAACTTTGTATAATTATCCAGCTAAAAAAAAGAAACGAAAAAAAAAAAAAAAGCTGTCATGTACACCCTATGTACTATACATATCCCATGCACCTTTTTCTTCCTCTGGCACCTTCTTCTTCTCTCTTCTTCTTTTTGACTATTTCAGCTGATGTAACGATTACATTTGTCCACTGTGAGATCAATAAAATCAATCAATCAATCTTAACATCCTCTATGCTGTAACAGAAAAAATACACCACACTCCTCATTTGCACCTTTGATCCTCCTACTGCAAACCACCCTGGCCTGTAGTTTCAAAAGATTACTTGAGTGTTAAAAAATAACTTTTCTTTTTCTGCACATGTTCTCTCAAACTATTTGTGGTCTAACTGGTCTCTTACTCTTTGTCAGAGTCGTTTGGGATCACCTGACCCCTGAGCAACGGGGAAGCGGCTTCCCTCCTGACTGTCTATTGCTGCTAAGCTCCTTTACATCATGGTTTGATCACCAGCCGTGCAAAGAGGATTTATGGCTGGAGCACGCAGAATACTATGTGCTGAGCCTGGTCTACATGCAGGGGAGCCAGTCCTATGCATTTCCAGCAAAACAAGTCAGCTACAGCCAGTCTGCATGGTTTGTTTTGGTTCAAACAAGTAGACTATCTACATTAATGAAGCATATTGTATAACTCTCTCCAATGAACTTTGGCACTTGATTGAAATGCACCCGTATCATTTTTTGGTGTTTTTTTGTTAAATTTTGACCAATTTAGATTAATTAAAGCATATAAACTCTGTAACAGGCTCTGATTAACAGGAGAAACTCTTTAAATTTTCAATCTATGAATCAACCATCACATACTTTTTTTGTCCACTTTTTGTTAAAAATGAAAGTCAGACTTCTGCTTTGATTCATGATGAAATGGTTTCATCATGCACCTTTCCTTTTTCATGTATTATAGATCTTAAAAAGAATCAGAATCTAAAGGCCCGAGAAACAAAAACAAAAATAACAACAAAAAACAAAAACAAACAGCCTGCGCTGGTGTGAAGTCAGCTCATTTTCTCATAGAAAATAGATCTTACTTATAAATTTAAAAGAATAAACCCTAACTTTCAACTTTTGAGGAAATTTGTATTTGAAATGTTTGTATAAGTTGTAACATTTTATTCTGTATTCTTGTAATTGATTTTTTTTGTTTGTTTGTGTTTTAACTTATTCTGTGGTTTATAAATTTGAATTAAGCACAGCTATCGTCAATTATACCTTTAAATTCACATTTATTTTAAAAGCCTTCCTAACCCATACAAGTACATCAAGATGTTTCTTTATCAGCAACAAAAAAATAATGTATGCATTTCTAATATGTTCAATGGATTCAAGAAACAAGAGAAGTTCAGCTGCTGACTTAACTTCAGTAAACTAAAACTCCTGCTTATCAAGCTATCAGCAGTTTTTCCCACATATTGCAGTTGTACATCAGGCCAACATGTCTATAACCTGACCTTGAGTCAAAACTATAATCCTTCCATGTCAATAGTACAGTATAATCCATTCATACCTTGATTAGCCTGTGTCTTTGCAGCCAAAGCAAAATGAAACCATTTCACACCCAGAGAAAACAGTTTCCTTCAAACGTAGTAACCTAAAGAGGAACCCAGGTTTATGACCTCTTCAGCCTTTGATACTTAAATTTATTATGCGCTTTATAGTGCTTTTTATATGATAACAACACGTTGATATGACTCCACAGTGTACCTGTTTTACTGTTCAACTGACAGGAGCTGCTGTCCATCTTTCCAAGACTTCCTTTGTAGACATTTCCATTTAAACCT